TTCAGAACAGGGTAGATAGTGCATCCATTTTGTTTTGTTTTAAATAAGTGTGTGTGTGTGTGTGTGTGTGTGTGTGTGTGTGTGTGTGTGTGTGTGACGCAGGCCTAGAACTGGCTGGAAGAATATTCTTCAAGACGTTACCCGTAGTTTCCTCTCCTCCTGTCAAGGAAGGAAGAGATTATGAATGGCTGCGGTGCCGTCGTCTGGCCCCCCCTTCCCCCCAGCCCAGCCCTCCCCACCCAATCTGTATTTTCTTCCTTTCTTCTTAAAATAACGAACGACGCTATTGGTGTGGAAAAGAAAGATAAAAGCATTTCCACATTAAAGAGAGGCAGCGTTCTGTGGGGCACGGAGGGCTACTTGGGGTCCACTGCCGGACAGCCCGAGATCCCCCAGTCCTTCCGCAGAAACGACACAGGGGCTGTGTACCCGGGAGCAATGGCGGAACCCGCGGAGGAACGGCGGGCATAGGACGGGACCAGAGGGCCTGAGGAAAAAACCCAGAGATAGGACCGCCAGGGCGGTTTCTGCCGAGTGACCCAGCGATGACCTGCATGGGGGCCCAGCCGGGGTGCGGTCCCCTCGCCTCCCTCCCCCGATTGCCACCCTGTCCTCGCTGCGGTCCTCGCAGGGCCTGCGGGGTGCAGGCAGGTGCCGCCGCCCAAGCCCGGGTCAGAGGAAGGCTAGGCAGGATCCCTGGCCTTCCTCGGCGGCCCCCTCTGTAGCACCCCTCCCTGTCTGCGGTGGCGTTTTTTGTTTTAATTTATCTGAACTAGTTACAAAACCACACTCCCACGAATACATAAATAATGGATAAGGAAAGGGGGGGTGTCAGTGTTTTTAAAAAATTCCCGCAGGACCTGGCAAGGCAGCAGCAAATGCATTTCTGCTGCATCATATTTAACTGTTTGCAAACTTGCGCTGGGAGGATGCGCGGACGCTGCCGAGTGGCAACGTCGAGAGCCATCTGGGGCCGGGCGACACTCGCACGGCGGGCTAAAGAAAGGGAGAGGGCGCCCGCGGGCAGGGGCCGGGAAGATGGCGAGGAGGGCAGAACGTGGCAGACAGCCCTGAGTCCCCGGGGGCTGTCCCCGGGACCCGCCGAACGTCGCCCACGCTCCGGGCCGGGCTCTCAGCGTCCGGCGGGGCCCCTTTAAGAACCGGAGCGCGCCCCCGCCCCTCAAGCGCTCCCTTTCCCTAGCAACCGCCCCGGGGGAGGGGGAGGCCCTGGCAACGGCGCGCCGGTCCGGGGGGTCACGTGACGGCCCGCAGCTGGAACGCGAGCGCGCGCCCCGCCGCGCGCCCGCCCGCCGGGGCCTGTGCGCTGCGGCGCGTGCGCGAGCGGTGCAGCACCGGCCGCGGGAGCAGGGAGTATTATGGGCTGTGGGTGCCGCTGAGCAAGATGGAGCTGTCTGCAGTGGGCGAGCGGGTCTTCGCGGCCGAATCCATCATCAAGCGGCGGATCCGAAAGGTGAGCGGCCGCCCGGGGCTGGACGCCTCTCCCCGAGGCCCTGGCCTGCGTCCGCGGCGGTCGAGGCGCAGCGATCCCGCTAGCCGGGGCTCCCTGGCCACCCCCGCCTCGCGTCCCCGCATCCTCCCCGCCCCCACTCCCCCCCTTTTTCCCCTTCTGTTTTTCAGGGGCGCATCGAGTACCTGGTGAAATGGAAAGGGTGGGCGATCAAGTGAGTGCCGCGGCCAGAGCCGAGGGAGGGAGGGAGGGAGGCGGTGGGCGTCGGGGCCTTTTGCCATTTTTGTGGTGCTCACGTTTTGTGGTGCTCGCTCGGCGTGCGCCCTGGCCCCCCTGGTCCCCGTTTTTATTTTGGCGATCGCTCGGCAGGTACAGCACCTGGGAACCCGAGGAGAATATTCTGGACTCTCGGCTTATTGCCGCCTTCGAGCAGAAGTGAGTTTGGGACGCTGGCCGGGGCGCGGGGAGGCCGGGAGCCGCGAGGTGGGCCCGGGAAAGGGGCGCCTTCTCACCGCCGGCGTTTCTCTGTCGCAGGGAGAGGGAACGTGAGCTGTATGGGCCCAAGAAGAGGGGACCCAAACCCAAAACTTTCCTCCTGAAGGTAACCTGGCCCGGTCCCAGCAGTCCCCTCTTGGGCCCCAGCGCTGGAAGGGAGGGACGGCGCGGCGGCCGCCCAGGCGGGCGGGCCTTTCCAGAGGGGCCCCAGCTGGGCAGGGGGGTGGCTGTGAGCCCCGGACGAGCCCCTGGCGGCAGGCCCCGGCCAGCCCCAGCCTCCTCGGCGAGAGGGGCCTGGGAGTGGGAGGGACCATCTCCGCTGACAAAAACCAGGACCTGGCAACCTTCGGAAAGGGGGTGGAGGAGGCAGGTGGGGCTCCCACCTGAGAGGTGGCCGGAAGGGACCTAGTGCTGCTCCTCCCGGCCAGACTTGAGCTGCTTTGCCCAGGTGCAGAGTGAGAACCCTGGACGAGTTGTTAGGGACTCCCCTAAAGCTGAACACAGGGGGTGGGGAGCACCTGCCTCCGCCGCCTTCCTCTGTCTCCCTCTCAGGATTTGGGCTGCATGCCTTCTCCCCCCCACCCCCACCCCGGGTTAGAGCAGGGGTAGACCTTGCCTCTTCCAACACTCTGGGACTTGAATTTGACCTCAAATCACTTCGTTTTAAGTTGATCGCCCAGGCCTGGCCGCTGGTCTCACAGCTCTGAGCCCCAGTTTCCAGGGCTGTCTCTGAAGGTTCTAAAGAGGAGGGAGGAGTGGAGATCCTGGAAGCACAGCCGATTAGGGTGGGGGTAGCCCAGCTCCAGGGGAAGCCATCTGGGTTTGGGGATATTTTGGGGAAGAAGAACAGTCTGGGCAAGGAGGACAACCCCGCCCACTCCCCCAGCTCTCAGCACCCCCCTCCCCGCGCCGGGGCTCCTGTGCCTGCCCGGGATGTTCCAGGACCTCGTCCCACCCGGACTGCCTCATGAGGCCACTGAAGGGGTCAGGCAGCAAAGTCACCCCGCAGAGAAGGCTGTCTGAATCCTCCACAGTCTCTACTCTGTCCAAGAGGGTCAAAGCCCACAGGCGGAAGTGGTCCTTTGGGGGTGACTCAGACCTCCGACCCCCACCAAAGAACTGCACATTCAAGGGTTTGCTCTGGGTTTAAAGCAGAAGCGAAGGACATGTTGGTTTTCAGAATTACATATTTACGTGCCTTCCCCACCCACCTACACGCATCTTGGAGATCAGGGAGCACCTTGCCCCTTGCTGTTGCCACCCTGTGGTCCGCTGTGACAGCTCTCCGCGCACAGGTGCGCCCTCTAGTGACATAGCGAGTCATGACAGGGAGCTTTGATTCACCACATTCCCCCCTTTTCTTTGGAGGTGGGGCACTAGGGGATGGAATAGCCCTGATTTTTTTTAAAAAGAAGCCCTAGTGGCATAATGGTTATGCGTTGGGCTGCTAACCACAAGGTCAGCAGTTCAAAACCACCAGCTGCTCCCCGTGAGAAACTGAAGCTCTCTAGTCTAAATAGCTGCAGTTTCAGACACCTACAGAGCGAATTTTGGTCTGCCTTATAGCATTTTCATGAGATCGAATTGGCTCGATGTAAGTCTGAGGGGTGGGGGGATCTGGGGTATTTGTTTTATTTTGTTTTTTGAGTTCTTGAAAAGAGCCCTGGTGGCGAAGTGGGTTACACATTGGGCTGTAACCACAAGGTCAGCTGTTCAAACCCACCAGCTGCTTTGAGGGAGAAAGATGAGACTCTCTAGTCCTGTAAAGACTTACAGATTGGGAACCCCGCAGAGACAGTTCTCTGCCTAATAGGGTCTCTGTGAGTTGGAAGCAAGCCTATTGCATTGAGTTTGGTTTTAGTTCTTCATTCCTGAGTGGAACCCTGGAGTTCCACTGGCCGAGCACTCTGCTACAGCTCAGCCGCTAGCCCCAAAGTGGGCGGTTCGAATCCACCACTGTAAACAGCCTGTCCTGTAGGGTCACTGGGTCCAAATGGCCATTGACGATAGTGGGTTTGGTTTTGTCCTGGTTCCCGAGCTGATCACGGGCCTCACTGAGGGCTGGGCTCCCCACAACTGCCCTAGGCTGTGGGATTTGTTAACCTCATTTCCCAAATGAAAACATCAAAGCCCAGAGAGGGAACATGGTCCCTTTGCCCAGAGTTCTGACTTCACCCTAGCACCTTTTTGTTCCTGCCCTTCAAGGAGTGTATGCCCAGTGAAGGAGACCTTGAAGGTTGCAGGCTTGGTGGGACAGTGGGTAGAGAGGCCCTGGAGCTAGAAGCAGGAGATGGTGCCAGGGGTTTGCCAGGGGCCGTGATGATCAGCTGGAACTGAGCCAACGTTGTGGGTGCTCCCCCCCACCCCGAGGGCAACCTGGGATAATCAGCCACCACACTTAGATGTTCTCTGGAACCCAAGGTGCATTTTGCATCTAGGGAAACTGAGGCCAGGAAGGTGAAATAACTTGCCTGTAGGCACACAACTAGTTGGCAGCAGAGTGCAGGCCCCTTAACCTTCAGAGCCCTCTGACGCCTGCCAATCCCATAGAGCCATATGCCCCACAGGCAGTCGCCCCCAGCTTAAAACTAAGACCTAGGAATACATCTGCTGCCTTCAAAGGATTCTAAACCTGGTGGGGGTGGGGACCAAGTAAGCCAATCCATTTCTTCTTTCATTATTTAGAAAATATCCTCATGGGCTATTTTATTTGTAAAGCAACCATTAATAACGTTGCATGCAAGCCAACCACCCGTGGATTCATTTCGTATTGAGCCCTTCCTATGGGCCAGGAATGTGGTAAGCGGGAAATGCACGTTATCGGCTGCCGGAGCCCTGTGCTGTGGGTCCCCTTATCATACAGTGAGGCCCAGAGGGGCTCACAGAAGTCTGCCCTGGGTCTGACATTTGCCCACGCTCCTTCCCCAGGGACGTCCCTGTGCAGGCTGGCACACCCTCATATCACTGAGGCTTAGGCAGTGTGCAGGGGCAGTACACGCCCCAGGATCGGGTAGAGGGAGCAGGCCCTGTTCGCCCTCCCTGCCCCGTAAAGAAAAACCTGAGCTGCTTCCTGCTTTTGTCTGGGAAGAAGTGTGAGAGGCCCAGTCCCTGGGAAGCTGGCGGCAGGCCTGGGTGGCTCAGCTGGCTCCTGTGCAGGTGAAGCCGGCTGTCGGGTCTGTGTCTCGCCACCCAGTGGCCAGAGCGATTGTTGCAGAAAGCCCTTGGCTAATGCTGTACATCTCGGGGCAGTGAGGGCCGGATTCTAAAGAGCAGCGTCCGAACTTAAGGCAGACAACAAACGTCTTTTCTGGGGGCTGTGGTCAGATCCACTACCGTCTGGTGTGAGGGCTTAGACTTTGGGTAGGGCTACCTGCCAGGGTCCAGTGCTGTGCCAGGCCTGGGAGAAGACTGTAGAGACGGAAGTTAAGGGGACAGCAAACTAAAGGTTCCAGTCTCAGGCTGGCCTTGAAGTGTGTCCTTCCTCTCTATCCCCTCCCCCCCCTTGCCAGGTTCCCTGCAGGAGATACCTGGCTAATCCCCACCCACCCCAACTTGGCTCCACAGGAATCAGAGGTGTCAAGGCAGACCCAGACCCCACCATTGCCCCTGCCGCCTCCAGCCTTTGTCTCTGTTCCTGCCTTGCAGGGAGCTCATCCATGTGGCAACCCTGATGGCACCTCCCCCCATCCTGGGCTGTGTTGCCTCTGCCTGCTCCACCACCACTCTGGGAGCTGACTCCCTGGGACTTGCCCCCTAATCTTGCACAGACCCTGGGGTGGAAGCCCTGTCTGTTGGAAGCTGGAGCCCTAGCAGCTGCCCCTGCCCCCTCCCCATCCCCCAGCTCATCAACCTCTTTTCCGTGAGCACTCCCTTTGCCCTCTGTTAGGTCCTGATTCATAGCAGCCCCACACAGTGCAGTTGAACTGCCTCCCAGGACTTTCTAGAAAGAGTCCTGTTGACAAAGCAGTTAAGAACGAGGCTGTCCACTAAAAGGTGGGAGGTTTGAATGGACCCCACAGCTCAGTGGAAGACCTGGTGATGTGTTCCCATAAAGATACTAAAGCCACACCCACTGCCGCCCAGTTGATTCCAACTCAGTGACCCTCCAGGACCAAATCACACTGTTCCTGAAGTTTCTGAGGCTGTCAGTCTTGACGGAGGTTGTGTCAGTGCTTCACAGATCGGCTGGTGGGTTCGAGCTGGCCGCTTTGTGGTCAGGTCACAGCCCAACACGGAGCCCACTGGAAGCCCAGGGCTTCTTCCCATAAAGCCTGGGGGGCAGTTCTGCTCTGTCACGTGGGGTTACCGAGTCATAATCAACTCAACCAAACCTAACTAACCACAGTAGGTTTCCAGGCCTTTCTCCCTAGGATCCCCCCCTCCCCCCTCCCCGGGAACCTGCCCATTGGCAGCTGAGTGCTCAGCCCCTGCACCCAGGGTGCCTCTGTTGGGCATCATCTGACTGAGTGAGTGGGTGAGACTGGAGCCTAGGGGAGGGCCGTTGGCATGGCACAGGTTACAGTTCAGGCCTGGGCCGGACATGGGCTGGCAGATAAACCTGACCTGGGCAGGGAGCCAGGGCCCAGCAGGAGGGCCCCCTCCGAAGGCTAGCGGAGCCTCAGGTGCATTAAGGTGGATATCAACTCCTGTCCTGACCAAAAGCTCCACCCAGAGGGCTTCTGAACAAAGAGCTGTCTGTGGTTCCATGCAGACAAACCTGGCTGATGGTTGCCCCTGGTTGGGGGGTGTTGGATGAGCCCGTAGGGGGCATGGTCCGGGGAACCCCTTAGGTGTCTGTCTGCACTAAGGGCCTAACCTACCTTCTGACCTTAAGCAAGGTGCATCACCTCTCTGACCCCAGAGTCCTCCCTCTAAGGCAAGGCCTGAGCCACGGCTGCTCTCAGGGTGCCCCAAATCCCCCTCCTTGCGCTCTCCCGCAAAGTCCTACCCAACCCATTGCTCACCCTGACCTGCAGACACCCCCCCTCTCCCCGCTGCCCAGACTCCTGCCCCTTAACTCCTTTGCACCTCTCCGCACGGGCCCTGGCTAGCCCTTAGCTCCGCCCCCTCACTGACCCTACCTAGTCTTTGTTCCGCCCCCGCGCAGGTCCCACCCAGCCCTGTTTCTCTCTGCAGGCGCGGGCCCAGGCCGAGGCCCTCCGCATCAGCGATGTGCACTTCTCCGTCAAGCCGAGCGCCAGCGCCTCCTCGCCCAAGCTACACTCGAGCGCGGCCGTGCACCGGCTCAAAAAGGACATCCGCCGCTGCCACCGCATGTCCCGCCGCCCGCTGCCCCGCCCAGACCCCCAGGGCGGCAGCCCCGGCCTGCGCCCCCCGATCTCGCCCTTCTCGGAGACGGTGCGCATCATCAACCGTAAGGTGAAGCCTCGGGAGCCCAAGCGGAACCGCATCATCCTGAACCTGAAGGTCATGGACAAGGCGCCGGGCGGGGGCGCTGCGGGCCAGGGCGCCGGGACCCTGGCCCGCCCCAAAGTCCCCTCTCGGAACCGGGTCATCGGCAAGAGCAAGAAATTCAGCGACAGCATCCTGCGCACCCAGATCCGCCACATGAAGTTTGGGGCCTTCACGCTGTACAACAAGCCCCCGCCCACCCCGCTGTCTACACCACCGGCCAGCAAGGCCGACGCCGGTGCATCCCAGGGCCCTGGGCTGCTCCTGGGCGCCGCCCCCGCCCGCTACGACGCCCACAGCTCCAGCTCCTCGGGCTGCCCCTCACCAGCACCGCATTCCTCCTCCGACCCCGATGACGTGCCCCCCAAACTGCTCCCCGAGACCTTGAGCCCATCGGCCCCCGACTGGCGGGAGTCGGAGGTGCTTGACCTGTCCCTCCAGGCCGAGTCGGCTGCCACCAGCAAGCGGGTGTCCCCTGACGTTGCTGCCGCGGGCCAGGCGCCCCCCGTAGTCCCCGAGCTTGCCGGTGCCTCTTCCGAGCCGGAGGCCGGGGACTGGCGCCCCGAGATGTCCCCCTGCTCCAACGTGGTGGTCACTGATGTCACCAGCAACCTCTTGACCGTCACCATCAAGGAATTCTGCAACCCTGAAGATTTCGAGAAGGCAGCGGCTGGCGTGGTGGCTGCCGCAGGGGGAGGTGGTGGCAGTGGAGCCAGCAAGTGAGGGGCCCCACCCAAGGAGGAAGCTTTGGGAGAGGTCTCCTACCCAAGCCGCCCTCCTGTACCCCACCCTCACCCGCCTGTGCTTTGCTTGTTGGAATGGCTCAGTCTTGACCCTGGTATGGGACTGGGCCCTGGAGCCCGGAGCCCAGTGGGCTGGAAGTGGGCTGATGTCCTGGGAGACATCAGGGCTGGACCAGGGGCACCTAGGTGTGCCCCCTCCGGGATCCCACCTTTGTCTTGTACACAGTGGGTCCTGCTGTGTGGGTTCTGGGGAGCCCCCAGAATCTAGGGTTCAGCTGTCCCCTCCACAGCCCACCCCCACCCTCCAGCTTACTCCCTGCACTTGTGGACGATGTCAGTTCTTGGTGCTGCCTGGCAGCTGTGGGGGCCCGGTAGACACCCCCACCCAGGGTGGGCACATCCCTATCCCTCCAGTTGCCTGGGCAGAGGGGCAGGGACTGGTTTCTGCCTTGGGCAAGCCCCCTGGACAGAGGTCAGGGACAGGGCCAGGCTCAGTCTCTGCCTCCCCCTCGGAGGCATTCCAGCGTCCAGCGTCGTCGACAGACCCCTTCAGTTCTTGACCAAAGGTGCTGTGAGAGCCTGCTGTGGACACTCGCTGTGTGCGTGTGCATCCGCCACCCTCGTGTGTTTGTGCGTGTACCCGTATGTGCATTGGGCTTTAGGCCCCAGGCTTCCAGATGGCACCCTGACGGTTGCTCAGAATGAACAGGGTCCTCAAAAGCTCACACCCCCGCCTCCCCATCCCCTCGGGTCTGAAGAGGTGGTGGCAGGAGCCACTAGGCCTGCCCTCTCAGCCAGCCATGTGCTGAGGGCGTGTGCCCTCCGCCTCCGGGGTGGTCAGCTTGACCAGCCAAGCCTTCGCTGCCCATGCAGCATGGCGGGGACTGGGGGGGGGGCACCCTTCCCCCCACTCCAAGCTTCTCTTTACTCCCAGGGAGGAAGGGGGAGCTTGGCCCCCTCCCCTGGGAGGGCTCCCCAACTCCCCTCACCCCCCTCTCTTTTGCTTCCAACACTGAGGCTTTCCCACAGACCAGCCTGCTCCGAGCAGCCAGATGCCTCTGAAGCCCTGGCCGCCCCACTTCCCCATGTGCTACCAGGGGGCCAAGGCCAGGCCTGGGAGAACAGGCAGGCCAAGAGGGCAAGGGTATTTGGTCTCAGGGGGGTGGGCATCAGTGTGCTCTGGGGGACACGGCCCCAGGCCTGGCTCCCGCGTGGCTGTGACATGTGCAGCTGCTTGGTGCTTTTCATTCAGTAGTGGTTAGCCTGCAGGTGGGAGATCCCAGCTGCCTGAAGGGGGTGCCTCGGTCCCCAACTTGGGGGGACACTCCCTACCAGGGATTTGGCACAGCCCGTCCCACCCCCCAGGATGTCAAACTGGGGCCTTCAGAGGAGGGAGGGCCTCATGCCCGTACCCCACCCCGCCCCTGTGTTGGCTCTGTGGCCCTCCAAGTGCCAATCGGTTTTATCCCCCAAATAAGGGCTGGCATTTCTCCTCCATCCTTGGAGGGGATTTCCCCCTAACATTCCCTTCCCCCCAGGTGAGCGACCACCTGGATCCCTGTTACAGGTGTTCCCAGAGACCATAGAAATGTGTTTTCCAGAGGGTCCGTGTCATTTGTGACGTTTTTTGTAAAGAAGTTGTGTTTTCAGAGGTGGTTTTATGACAGGAAAGTGAAAGAATTAGTTTTGCAAAAAAAAAAAAGGAAAAAAGAGGAAAAAAATATTTGTGGGATTCCTATGGGGTGGGGGGGAGAATGATATTTAAAGAAAAAAAAAAAGTAACGCAGTGATTGCACAGGGAGGTGGCAATGTGAGGGGAGGGGATGGTGGCCAGGACCTGGCTGGTGGGTCCCCCAGAGGCACCGTGGGGACAGCCCTGAGGCCAGCTGACCTCCTTTCTTGGCCCAAGGCAGAGGGAGTGTCTCTGCTGTGGCTGTGGCGGGGCGGGGGCCCAGACTTCCTCCATAGCGTATCCTTATCAGAGGGAACTAGGCGGAAGCTGCCAGGGAAGTGGAGGCTGAGGGGAGTTGAGCTCTGGGACAGGGTGAGGGGGGCCTCTGGGGCCCTCCACCGTTGCCATGGCCCACTGTTGGCGACTTGGTAAGGGACATTTGAGCAGTTCCTCCTCCATTCACTTGCCACTTTATTGGGCCTTCTGGTCTACCTCCCCGACACAAAGACCAGGGCAGCCGCCCCACTCCCAAGCTTCCCTGGCCAGGAAAGGGTGCAGGTTTCAGGAAGAAAGCAGCTGTGGGCCCTGGGAGCTCCAAGGATTAGTGGCCACCGAAGGGAGAAGGGGCCTGTCTCGTGCTTTCCATGAGCTCCTTGCTGCCCAGTGTCCTCAGTCTGAGAGCAGGTGGGGCACCGGATGGAGCAGAGCCCCCTTTACCTCTCTCCCAGGTGGCTCTGAGCTGCATGACCAGCCTCTCATGCCCTCCCACCCCCTGCTGCGTTCCCACTAGCCTGCCCACCTAGCAGGAGCTGCGGTCCGCTCTGCTTTGATTTTTATATGCGAACTGTGTGTTTTTCCCTCCCACCCCACAGCACCCCACTGCCACTCCCTCCCTACCTGATAGAGGAAGCAGGTGAAGGCTGGGTCTAGCTGGAGACTGCCCGCTGGCCCCTGGCTCCTCCCGTTTTCTTCTGGCCCGCAGGTTGCCCTGCGCTGGAATGGGTGTGTTGGCTAATAAGCCACCAGGGCCGAGCAGCAGGTGGTGCCTGGGTCTCCTCACTGCCACAGCGCTCCTCTCCTCCCTGCACAGGGGTCAAAGTCACAGTGAGCCTCTTCTAAGAATTGGCAATGAGCGGTCCCTAGCCTCAGTGAGAGGTGGGCGAACTGGTGGTGTTCCCCCGCCCAGTTCAGAGATGAGCAGACAGGCCAGCTGCTCAGGAAGGCCTGAGGTGGGGCCAGGGCTAGAGGCTGTGCCTGGGAGGGGACTTTGTGGGAGGAGCCAAGGGACACTACTGCCCCACCTTCTGGTTTGGTTTGCACTTCCCCCATGCCGGCAGTGGACCCCACCCCACCTCCCGGGGTTGGTCCACAGCCCACCCACCCCAGCCCTGGCCCAGACGGCCTCATTGGAGCGTGTCTGACTTAAGGAATCACTTGCAGAGAGAAAGAAGAAACAAAAAGGAAAGTTGGTTGGGTTTTTTGTCTCTTATTTCTGTCTGCATTCCCTTGGAGTCAGAGTGCCCAAGAGAGTGGGGTTCCTCAACTCTGCCTTCCCACCTATCGCCAAGATGGGGAGCGGAGACACCGGTGAGTGGGTGCCAGGCCTGCCCAGGTGTGTGTGGCTGCCCCCACCTTGCAGGAGTCTGGGCCCACTGTGGGTGCTGCCAGGCAGTCAGCTGGGCAGAGGCCATGGGGCGTCCCCACTGTTGGGCCCCCGGGGAGACAGCCCTTTTTGTTGATTTTAATTTAAAAACACAAAAGGCTTAAAGAATTATGTACCTTATCTTTTCTTGTTTTGTCTTTAATTTTTGGAAAGCTCATTTAATGGCTTGTGCACGGATTGAATTCTATATATATGATATACCTATATAGCTCTATATTGGGGGAGGGGTGCTGTCTTCTCTCGCTCTCATTTTTCAAATGAAGTGTCGTTGCCTTTGTGTGTGGTTTGACCATCCAGCTCCCGGCTGGCTAAGCTTTGCCTCCCGTGGGTCTAAGATAGGAAAGTAGCAGGGCGGGTTGGGGAGTGTGGGGTGCCCTCCCTGCAGCCCTCCTGCCCTTCTCTCAGCAGAGATTTCGGGTGCAGAAGACAGGGTGGGGTTTGGGTTCTGTTTCGGAGCCGGGTGGTGCCGGTGACTCGTCTTGTACGTCTGTTCTGCTGCTCCTCAATATTGTATCAATGCCAGGAATGGGGCGCAAAGAGCCTCTATTACCCCCCCCCCCAAATAAATTGTCACATTCCGAAATGAAAGCCCCACCCTGGGACCGGGCCTGTGTATGCATCATTTCTTCTTCAGGAAACAACATGATCTTTACTAGTTCTGACCTAGGGGCGTCGTGGTTAGGCAGTGGGCTGCAAGGCCAACAGTTCAAAATCCACATCCGCTCCTCGGGAGAAAGACCAGGCCTCTGCGTCCCATAATGACCGATGGCCCAGGGAGCATAGCGGGCCACCCCAGCTCACAAATTTCCAGGGACCCCAGTGCAGCCACGTCCCTGAGGCATGGCCCATCTCTGGAGGGCTGAGAAGCCTGCCTGGGGGGGGATGGACCATTGGCCAGTATGTGGAGGACACGGGGGTCCCTGGTGGAATCAGCACCCAGAGAGGGTGGGCCTGCAGCCTATATGGCCGTGGGCATGAGCAGCGGCCTTGCCTGTTCCCACGATGACCCCATGCAGTCTCTTCAATAAGGAGCGGCTCACAGAACAGCGAGCTTTCATGTTGCCGCTGGGCTGGGTGGTGTCCTGCGTCCTGCACCTCCTCTAGGCAGACCACCAGCCTTCTCCATCCCCAGCAGCAGCCCAGGCCCTGTCTTCCCCCCACCCCGCCACTCCAGCTCAGGACTTGGCCATCCAGTTCCAGAGCTTCACCTCCCTCCCCAAACCACCCCCTCTTGCTGTGGAGAAGATTCCAGCTGGGTGACCCTAAAGGCAGAGTAGAATTCATGGCCCCTTGGGGTTTCCAGGGCCGGCAATCTTTGGGAAAGCAGACTGCCACATCTTGTTCTCACAGAGCAACCCGGGGGGGTTGAACTGTTGACCTTTGGGTCAACAGCCAAGTGCTCAACCCTAGTGCCACTAGGTCGCCGACCTTCCTCGGCACTCACCCTCCTCCAACCCCCTGGTGCTAGGAGGCTCCTCAAATGCCCCAGCCGGGCTTTCACTGCGCCTCCTCTGGCAAAAGCCGCCCTGTCTCCGCCTTTGTTCTTAACTGCAGCCCCCACCCCATACACTTTCTCCAGCAGGGCCACTGGGATCTGGAAGACCCCCACCCCCCCTGCAGCTCTCCTTCCACCTAGGGGCACTCACCTGCCCTCCCTGGTGCCCTGGTTCCTGCCTGGGACTGACCTGTGGTGATGTCACTTCACTCTCTAAAGGCAGGGACAGGTCTCAGACACCCTGCCCATGGGTCACAGCTTGGCTCCTGGCACATGCTAGGTCGTCAGTTCATCTGTCCTCAGGATCATCCCTTCTTGCATCCATGGAGGACAAGGAGGCTTGGGTGCCACCAGCTGAGTCTTTGAGCTTGGGCCTCGGCCTCCTGTGGGATCCACTGAACAGCCCCTCGGTCAACAAAGGGCGAGGGGGCAAGGGCGCTGCCCCTGCCTGCTCTGGTCTTAGACACAGGGCCTGAAGAAGTCAGGCCGGCAGAGTCCCCAAGTGGAGTGAGTTTGGCTTGCACACCTCCGGGCGGTGGGGTCAGACCCTCCCTGACCCATCTCTTCCACTCCAGAACAGCTCAGGGGGCTTGAGGACGCCGTTGCCCTGGGGCTGTGGTGTGTCCTGAGCCAGCGTCACTAATTGTCACAAGCCATGCCATTCCTTGGCAGCTAGGTCTGTTTAGTGGTTTAGGGTTCATGAGTTTTGGCCATAGCCATTGCTCCAGGAGGAATTGAGAGATTTATAATGACGACCAGGCCATGAAGGGACAGGTGCTTGGCTTAGAAAGCCTGTCCCCCTGCCTAAGGTGAGTCAGGGGGGCAGCGCGTGGCCACAGCTGGCTTTATGGGGTTCATCTGCCCTGCAGGTCAGGATTGGGGGAGAGGTGAGGATGGGGTAAGAAAGACTTCCTGTAAAATAGCTTGGTCTCCTTTCAATGGTGGTAAAAAGTGCTTAGAACCAAACAATGCCCGTTTCAGAATTTTCCCGGCGTACAGCTCCATGGCATTCAGGACACTCATTTTGTTACACGGCCGTCTCCACTCTGTTTCCAAAGTTTGCCACCACCTGCAACAGCGTCGGTCATTGGCTTCAAAGCGGAGAGTCCATGGGCTTCTGGTCCCTGCTGGGCTGCGCCTGGAGCAAAGAGGCAGGTCAGAGCAGCTCCAGCCAGACAGCAAGACCCTTCTTCAGCCGGCTAACAAGCCAGCGAGCAAGCTGGTGCCCCGTGCCCTCTTGGTGCTGACTGCAGAGAGAGCACACTTCTAAAAGACCCCTGGAGGCCACACACAGCTGATCCCCAGCAGAGGGGCCGCAAGGGGAACAGCAGAGGAGAGGGCCCGGCATCCTTGGAGACCCGCGCCTCTGAGCGCCTGAGAGGGTGCTGGAGCTCAGAAGATAAAGGCCAGTGGAGGGTGAGGCTGTCGAAACAGCCCGCGGTGGGATAAGAGGCCTGTGAATGGGAACCACAGGAGTCGGCCAGGGTCGACAGTGCTTTGAGGGCTTGAGAGAAGGAACAGCTGAAAACCTCCTAGGACCTAGCACCCTAATCTCTCGGAGGACATGGACCCGGAGAGCAGCTGGCAGAACACAGTCCTCCGCCTACTCTGGTGAGTCATCTTAAAGGTGCATCTGCTGGTCTCCGTCCACCTGGAGCAAGGAAGTGTGAAGGGAATCAATGCCCTCGTGTTGTTGTTGTTAGGTACCGGGGTGTCCATTCCAGCCCCTGGCAACCTTAAGCATCCTCACTGTTGATGCAGAGAATTAGGTGATGCCCGGTTACCCCACGACCGACCGCTCTGAGAGAGAAGGTCCGGGATAGAGTGGGAGCAAAATGTGGACCGAACCTCAAAATTATATTAAAAAGAAAGAAAGACCAGGCTTAGGGTCAGATAGAGACTGCCGGAACCCTGGAGACCATGACCCTTCGTCCGTCTGCGTGCCTGGAACGGAACTTACCTCTGTGCCTCAGCTTTCAGCCGAAAAATAGGCAGGTCTGTGGAGAGGCCAATCAGATGAGGGGGGAGCACACATCTCTGAATACTCAACCAGGTGGGATCCACAGGACAGCAGTTACCCAAGGGCCGAGTGCAGAAGGCTCGGGAAGAAAGGAGGGACTGGTATGGGAAGCGTGGAGGAAGCAGAATGCGTGGGGAGTGCAAACAATGACATGAAACAAAATGTGTATCAACTGTTGGATGGAAACCTGATCTGCCCTGTAAACCTTCATCCATTTCCCCATAAGGTATCTTTACAAACAACTCCTGGATAACAGGTGAAAGGCAAATGAGTGAGTGTGGCCACCACTCACAGCCCAGAGGAACCTGATGGAGGAGTCGGATTGGGAGGGAAGGGGAGCCCAGTTGGGAACCCCTTCATGGCAGCTTGATCAATCGGTCCAGGGGTAGGAATCTAGCCTGTCAGTCAGGCCTGATGATGCCTCCTTGTAGGCGTGGCCTTTTCATGAGGAGTCTGGGAACCTCCTTCCTCTCTTTGTCCCAGGAGGTGGGCCCCACTCTCTCTGCGTCACCTTCCTGTGGAGGAGATGCTCAGAGAGCTGGAGGAGCCACGTGGAGACCAACCCCCCCACCCCACCCCCACCCCCGACAGCGCTGTGTTGCTTCTACCGCCACTGGATCCGCAAGACTTTCCACCCACCATCCTGTGATCTTTCGACATTCAGCATCATTGCATGTGCTGTGTGAGTCTAAAGAGGAATTTATGAGCTAGTATCAGACATATGGGCTAATATCGGGATTATGGACTTGCTCTGGACTGGGCTGGGATCTTTTCTCAATATACAATTGCTCTTTAATATAAAGCATATATATCTGAGTGTCTCTGGATTTGTTTTTCTAGTCAACCCAGTCTAACACATTAGTCCAGGCAGAGGGTCCAGGAAGCATTTGCATTTATGTATTTGAGTGTTCGGCCCTCACCCAGCACTGCTAGAAAAGTCTGTCCCCTTGCTGAAGGGCCTTGGTCCCTGGGCCCATCTCATCTCACCTCCTAGAAAGACCACCAAGACTTAGGAGCTGAGCTCTGGAGGCCACCAGCTGCTACGCAGGAGGAAGATTACCTTTTCTATTCCCCTAAATATGTGCCGTCGTGGAAACCCACAGGGGCAGTTCCACCCTGTCCGTGAGTCAGAATTAACTCCGTGGCAGTGTGTTTGTGGGGTTTTGCGGGGGAGGGGGGAGAATAGGGGTGGGAGACAAAGTCTGGAGCCACCAATGATTTAGAACTGAGCCCCTGAGTAAAGTCATACCTACGTCCTCAATGAAAGAGCACATGGGGGGGGGGCACCCTTTTGCCAAAAAAGGGAGATGTCAGAGACTTGTCTGTCTCCTTTTTCAGCTCTTTTGGAAAAATAAAACTCTCCCTTGAGAAGTTGAAAATCTAGACTTCCCCTGGCACCAATTTGTTGTCTGAATGCGCATGACGCCCATGACCCCAGCCAGACCTGTCAAGCCTTTCAATGGACATCAAACGTGAGCCGAGTGAGGGTGGATCAAGGTGCCCAGGTGGTGCAGTGGTCAAGCTCCTGCCAAAGGACACGGTTCCCGGGGGTCTGACAGTTATGTCAAGATGAGACTTGCCAGTGAGGTGATGATGAGGTCATCCTCCATTTTTATTTATTTATTTATTTGCATGATGCCAATTCTCACATGACACCCTGGTCTTTGGGACCGAGCCATGTTGCTAAGTGAGGAGCAGGTGCGTGGTACCTGCACCCGATGATTAAGGATAGCGCATCCTTTCCAAGCACACATTGAAGAATTCCAAAGATGCTCATGTACCCCATGGACCAGGACAGGAAGCAGGTCTTGATACATTGCCCCAGAACAAGTCCACATATGTTAAGGGGGCAAAAAAAATCAATAAGAAAAAGGCCACTACCGCTGAAGACAAAGCGGGTGAATAAGCAAATGTGGTGAAGAAAGCTGATGGTGCCCAGCTATCAAAAGATATAGC